GGCTACGGCAGAAGGTTGTCAGAATGCTGAACCAAGGATACTTGAGGGAGCTGCTCAGCGATAAGGGAAAGATCAACTTCGCACGAGGGCGGGATCAACCTTAAGGGCCGCCAAAGCCGCCTTCGCCAGCATGCACCATCAACATGATCGTCGGAGGAGGCGACGATTCAGCAATCAACCATGTAAAGTTCACCACTTCGCACAAACTAAAGCGAACAATCGCCCACGAATGGTATGACGACTTCGAAGAGAGTATCACCTTCGATAAGTCAGATGTCGACTGTTTGTCTTTCCCTCATTATGATGCTTTGGTCATAACTTTACGTATCGCTGACACTGATGTTAAAAGAATCATGGTTGATGACGGAAGTGGCGCCTGTATTATCCATCCAAGGGTCCTCGCGCAAATGAGGCTCGAAGATAGGATAATACCGCGTTGCATAACACTGATAGGTTTTAACAATGCAGTGGAACGAACCTCCGGGGAGGTATCATTACCGATTTTAGCAGGAGGAGTTACGCTGGAAACCACTTTCCACGTCATGAACCAAGAAACAGCCTACAACGCCATCATAGGACGCCCGTGGATACACGCCATGCGAGCAGTCCCCTCAAGCTTCTACCAAGTGATCAAGTTCCCCACCCCTTGGGGAATATTTAGCATTCGGGGCGAGCTGCGCACCGCGCAAGAGTGCTACCGAATCGCTCAAGACTACTCACACACCAAGCAGTTGAAAGGAGCAAGTGCGGAAGCATGTAAATCAGCCGTGTCGGGGGACTAAGGTCGACCCGACACGGGAAAGCCCATCAAAGATCNTAAATAATATATTAGGAGGTGTAGGACTAATCAGCTAGGACTGAGCTAGCAAATGAGTTATTGGTTCGGTTGAACACAGTAACATTGGCTCAAATTGTTAATTTGGAAGCTAATAACTTAAATGGATTAATCATAAATTGACAAACTTCAAATCTTGACTCCGCCATTATTAATTGTACGCGGTGAAATCAGAGGGCCCGATTTCCCGCCGTCGAGCCACCTCGAGGAGGTACCTCGAGACCCCGAGGACACGAAGCCTCAACTTGTCCCTCTCTTTCAGGGCTTGTCATGGTCCGATTCGAGGCCGAGATATAGACGTAAGGGGGGAAGCCCTCAAGACATGCGGTTGAGTCTAATAGGGCCGGCCTATCCATAGCCTATGTTGGGGCGTCGAGTCAAGCCATCACATCGTCATATTTCACAAATTAAATATACATGTATTCCGAGTTTCCTCTCCTATATAAAGGAGACTCGCCCTACTTACCTTTAGGGTATACGGAGTGAGCTGGGTGGGACACATGTTGTAGTAACGGCAAAGTTCCTCCGCCAATGGAAAATGGGGAGCCGTAGCCGATCAAAATGGGATATTCATAAAACGTACAGTATCCCGATCTATGGGTATTCGCGTAGTCCGCTCCTGCTAAAACCATCTCCACGTGAGTGGGTATATCATACGACGCACGAAGAGTATCTAAATCAGTTTGATTTAACTCAGATTTCTCCCAAGGTTGTTCGGGAGAATCCCGTTGAAAGTCCCTCCTAATAAGGAGTTGTTTCGGGAGCACGTTATCTACGGTAAGAGGGGTGAGATCCTCCCCTTTCTCTCCCTTATTGCCGCCGGTCGGAGGCGGTATGTCAGATGATTTATTATTACGAGCCCCCGGAGCGTTATCCCGTTTAGGTTTTGTCATGATTTCTGATTAAGGAGTGATGTACTACGCAACCACAAGTGTACTTTCAGGGAAGCGGTGATTTCTCGTAAAAAGGAAGCGTTTTCTTAAAATAGTTGGAAAACGTTTGCAGATGATCTAAAGTTAGATTAAGTTGAACCCTTTCCCTATTTATAGGGTTGGGTAGCGTTGAAATCGAAAAGGCAAAACCCTAGACAGGCGCGGGAAACCAAGCATCAGAACACCTTTTGTACTTCCTCGGGAACACGCGTAATGATGACGCCTGCATATGGTGACGTCATCTCAGGGAAGGGATTGCGCACCAATAGATCGACTAATTCAAATGATCGCCCTCCCCACGTCGTCGCCTCCAAACATGGTCAAAAATTTTCTAGTACAAGGATCATGGTTCCGTCCATCGACGACGCACTTCGTTACGTCACCAACGAACGGAGGGACTATCTGTATGGGGGCGAATTCTGCCCACTATGGTAGCAACGACCCACGACTAAGCAATAGCCGAAGTAGAGGGGACGACCTAAGAATATCAGAGCAAAAGCGTGTCCTTAGGTCTCGTCGTCTCCTCTAAAGCACGTGACCTATCCCTGTATTATTTTATTATTTTTGAGGGGGTTCTCTTGTTATATAAAGGAGAATCCCAATGTTGTAAAGGGGAGATCTTTCAATAATAAGCTATCTTTCTTTCTATCTCTCTCTCTCTCTCGAAACAAGTTTTCTCTTACTCTCTCTCGAATATCCAAGTTGTTGAAACAATCACAAGCATAATACATATTTCTAGGTCTAATTATATTCGATTACGATTTACCTTTGATTCATTTTGATTGTTTTCGCTTACAAAGTAATTAGTATCTTTTGAGCCAAACATACATTCTTGTTTATTTTTTTGTTTTATATTATTACTTTGAGCTATGTTTTTAACAATTTGTTAGCTTTATCAACCCTTTCCAAAACTAGACTTGATATTATTCCTTGGTAGCTTTTTCAACCCTCCCGAAATTAGATTGATCAAAGAAATATGTTATCAATACTCTTAACTCTTTAGGGAAGTAAGTTATTTTCTCTTCTGAACAAAATTAATTAGTTCCAATTGGTTTGGCAGAAAAATAAAGAAATGAGCAAAAAGAATAAAGTTATGCCAATTTGAAATTAACTCGATGTTTGGACTTTAAACAAGTTTCTTAACACTCAAAACTTGTTTAAGAAAGGAGGCCAGGTCAACATTGAAATTTGATAGGACGATTGCGGGGAGAAACAAGAAGTAGCAGAAAATTGTGAGGATTGGGCTTGATAGACTCAGTAGTGTAGGCCCGAAATAAAGGATCCATCATTCAACGAATCTGGCCCATGACTTCTCACTGTGGCGTAGGGTAGAAATTGCACCAACCACTCTAAAGGGCTGCTACTAAGGAATTAGCCGGTGCATCCTGGATTTCAGTTTTTCAGTTTAATTTTACAGGACAAAAATGTCCTGAGTTGTCCTGAAGTTGAAATTTTTAGTTTAAAATTTTAGGACAAAATAAGTACTGGCTAATTCTTAAATAGCGTTCTTGAAAATGGCTATTTGTGCACTTGCCCCTGATGTAGGGACAGGATAATCCAATTTAAAAGAGTATATAGTTATAGCATTTTGGTACAATCAGAGGCGAATTTATGATTTAAACTCTCAGTAAGGTCAGAAGTTCGAACCTTTGCTGAAGCGTCGAACTAAGAGCGTTTTGTTGAGATTATTTATAATATTTTAACTTAATGTAGTTTAATCTATATATATGTTGGAATTGTTAATTTGTGTTTTAACCCAAATAGCCTCCCACCTAATCTCTTAAACTTATATATATATATATATATATATGAAAGAAATGTAAATCAGATCTGTGAATTTTTCTCTGTGTGTTATTTCATCATCTGTATCAAATATTTATACAAGTAGCTAATCTAACAAGAAAAGAAAGATTCTAAATATATGTACACTTGTACAAATCCTATTGCAAGTTCTGCAACAGAAAATAACAAATAATATTCCTTTACAATGTATTTATATGTGTTGTATATTCTCTTGTTCCAGTTGTCCAAGTTGTGTAATCAAATGGCTGAGATTTAGCTTCACTTGGACGGTCAAGATGTATCCACATTTATAACCAAGAAAGGGCCCAAATAATAGAGACAACATAGAGATGTCCGAACTCTATCTATTTGTCTCAAACCTATCTGTCTTCTTCTTCTCTTCTGTAATCAAATCGCTTCTTCGATATTGCAGGTTCTACAGAATTAGCATAGGGCTTCCTTTTCTTCTTCAACATCCCCCCTCAAGTTGGAGGGGGGAGACAAAACCCCTAACTTTCTCAAGATAGATTAGTGAGAAGCCCCAGATAATGGCTTGGTGAATAAATCGGCCAGTTGATGTCGTGATGGTACAAAAGAGAGACTAATCAAGCTGGAAAGGAACTATTGTCGCACAAAATGGCAATCTAACTCAACATGTTTGGTTCGTTCGTGAAAGACGGGGTTACAAGTGGGGGTGTGCATATTTGTTATCGAAATCGAAAAAATCGAAACCTTATTGAAACGATAACGATAAGCATATGTACAAATCGATAATCGATAAGTAATTATCGATAAGGGTCAAAATCGAATCGATAAATCGAATGCACACCCCTAGACTGTAGACACTTGTTAAATGAGTAATTACCTATTTGTGTAGATTAACATAACATACAGAATGTATATATATTCCGCTACTATTTTGAAAGCGGCTATACAATATTATTTTCCCTAATCTATACCCTTTCCTTTACCCTAAGTCCCTTACCCTATTATTTCCTCTACCACATTTAAGGAATGATCATATTTAAAGATCAAGGGAATGAAGTTCAAATTAATGGAAAACAGAATTAGCCGTGATGATGTGTTTTATTTTGTTTTGTTTTTTATACCGTTGGAGTGTTGGTGGCATACATTTGATCCCTTACTTTAGTTTTGTTGCATGTGCTTGTTGACATAATTTTTATATTATAAATGGTGTTCGTCTTATTTTAGCTTCTTTTTGTCCATATTAGTTAGGCGCGTTTATAGCGATATACTTTCCGTGGAATCCCGCAAATTTTCTTATTGGTGTAATCGATAACTGAATCGATAAGCCCCCAAAATCGATAAATCAAAATCGAAAAAATCGAAACCTTATTGAAACGATAACGATAAGCATATGTACAAATCGATAATCGATAAGTAATTATAGATAAGGGTCAAAATCGGATCGATAAATCGAATGCACACCCCTAGTTACGAGCAATATGTATGGCGGCTTGACTGTCGGAGTGAATTGGAACATGAAGAGGTGGTGAAGATGAAAGATCATCAAGGAGACGAACTAGCCATATGATTTTAGCTGTAACGCGTCTCATTGAACGGTACTCTACCTCAATAGAGGAAAGGGAAACAGAGACCTGCTTTTTAGACTTCCATGAAATTGGTGCTCCCCCAAGTGTGATGAAGAAGCCACTCACAGACCGGCGATATTCTTTCCAAGATGCCCAATCCGCGTCGCAGAAAGCTAGTAAATCAAATGAGGGTCTTGAGGAGAGAAGAATCCCCTGGCCTGGATCTCGACTTAAATAGCGTAGAACACGCATGGCAGCTGAGAAATGAGATGTACAAGGGTGCTGCATGTATTGACTGAGAGAAAGAACAGCAAAACACAAATCCGGCCTTGTGTTGGTTAAAAATTTGAGTTTGCCAACTAGATGACGATACCCAGTAGGGTCTGCTAAGAAAGGGCCAACATTTGCGTGCAATTTGCATGATAGATCAAGTAGAGAAGTGACAGCTGCTCCAGAGTAATCAAACTCTTGTAAGAGTTCCAAGGTATATTGTCATTGACTGATAATGAATCCTTGTTTTTCTCGCAAAATTTCAATTCCTACAAAGTAGTGTATATCGCCTAGATGTTTGACTTTGAACTCTGTATTAAGAAAATCTATGATAGACTTGATTTCCTTGCAATCATCCCCAGTTAACAGAATGTCATCGACATAAACTGCTATTATAGAAACCAAATTCCCATTGCGTTTAAAGGATAGAGAATAGTCATTAAGAGAACTAGAATAACCTTTGTAACTGAGAGCCCCTACTAATCGAGCGTACCATTGTCTAGAAGCTTGTTTTAGACCATATAATGATTTTCTCAAAAGACAAACCTGATTTTGGTTAGGAGGAGTTAGGCCTGTAAGGAACCTTATATAAACCTCTTCTTGTAAGTCGCCATGTAGAAAGGCATTGTTAACATCAAGCTGTGAAACACCCTAATCTCGCTTGACTGCCACTGTGAGAAGACACGTTATTGTTGTTATTTTGACAACAGGTGAAAAGGTCTCGGAATAATCAATTCCCTCTCTTTGAATATCCCCCCTTACTACCAATCTAGCATTCAACCTTTCCACTGAGCCATCTGCCTAGTGTTTCACTTTATAAACCCATTTACAAGGCAATGGCTTCTTACCTGGTGGTAGATCTACTACATCCCAGGTATGGTTCTGCTCAAGAGCAGCAATTTCTTCTTGCATAGCTTTCTGCCATCCTGGATGAGTAGAAGCTTGTGCAAAAGTGGTAGGTTCTGATATAGAATCCATTCTTTGAATAAATTGTTGATTTTGTACTGATAATGCTCCAAACGAAAATGTAGTGGGTTTAGAGGGTTGTGCAAGACAAGAATTGGTGAAATCTGAAAGATAGATGCTACTGCATATGTAATCCTTGAGATATGCAGGTTTTTGACTAATCCTATCAGACTTCCTTAGAGGTGGTGATAAAACAGGAATTGGTGTGCTATAAGTGTGTTGTGGTGAAGGAGTGGAACTTTGGTAAGAGTTCTAATTGGTTCTGTTATGGGGATTTTAAGTAGAAAAATGGGGAAGAGAATGGATTGGCATCAATGTGTGGAGTAAAGAAAGAAGGGATAGGTGAATGGGCAGGACTTGGAGGAGAGGAAATAGAACTGGAGGTAGTTTCTGAATCTGAGGTAGGATGAATATCTGGAGAAGACACAGCTTGAACCCCTGAGTCCTGCACAACTGGAGTGTTAGGAAAGAAGGTGCTAGGTGAACTGATGTGCAGGTTTTTGAAAGGGAAGTTGTTTTCATAGAAAATAACATCTCTAGAGACAAAAACTTTGTTACTATTGAGCTCCAGAAGCTTGTAACCTTTTTGGTTATGTGCATAACCCAAAAACACACATTTGTTAGCTCTAGGATCAAATTTTCCTCTGTTGTGTGCTAGAGTAGAAGCATAGCACAGACATCCAAAACACCTAAGGAAATCATAAATAGGTTTCTTCCCAAATAACATCTCATAAGGTGTTTTTCCCTTAAGCACACTAGAAGGAAACCTATTTATCAAATAGGTTGCAGTCAAGATACATTCTCCCCAGTAAAGAATAGGGACTTATGATTGGAAGAATAGACCCCTGGCGACCTCCAAGAGGTGTCTGTGCTTCCTTTCTACAATCCCATTTTGTTGTGGGGTTGCTACACAACTTCTTTCATGAACAATACCTTGGCCTTCAAGAAAAGCTGCTTCTTGACTTCCTCTCCCTAGTTCCAATACATTATCTGATCTTATCCTCTTTACCTTCAAATTGAACTGTCTTTCCACCATGATTAAGAAGGATCTCAAGACTGAAAATGAATTGCTTTTGCAGCTTAATAAGAAGGTCCAAGTAGCTCTGCTGAAATCATCCCAATTGTTAAAAAATATCTGAAACCATTGTATGTAGGTGTCTTAAATGGTCCCCAAGTGTCAACATGAATCAATTCAAAAACAGCTTTGGTTTTGATGTGACTAGTAGGAAATGGCAATCTAGTTTGTCTAGCTTGATGGCATACATCACACACATGATCAAAATTTGATGGAAATTGAATGAAACTAAAATTTCTCATTACTGAAAATGGCAAATGTCCCAACCTGACATGCCATTGAAGTACAATAGAAACTGAATTAACTGACACAGGATTTTGAAAAGAAAAAGTACTAGGAACACAATTGGAATCACTTCTTTTTGGAATAGAAACTACGTTTTGAGCTAAGAAACTACTAGAGTCTAAAATTGTTTGGCTGCAGCAGGTATAGTCTATCTCTTATCTCACCAAAAGCTTGTCCCCTCCTCATTAAAGGGACCTGCAACATACATCCAATAGAGGTTAGATTTAAGGAACAAATGAATTGTACACAAAGCTTGTGAACTGATAACAGATTGTACTTAAAGGAAGGCACATAGAGTACTCTTTGAATAATCATATCATGTTGGATGAGAACTCTTCCTATATGTATGACATGCAATTGAAAAGAATTAGAGAGATTAATATGTAAAGGCATAGGTAAAGGAGTTATCTCTAGGAAAGAATTGGAGTCAAAACACATGTTTTCAGAAGCTCCTGAATCAATAATTCAAGTTTTAGTGTTAAAAACTACTAGACAGGTTCCAGAATATTTGAGTATTGTACCAGCCACAACATTTGCATTAATCTCTGTTCCTCCATTTCTTGTATGTCCAGTTTGCACCTATTTGATTAGGTTAACCAGCTCTAAGAGTTGTTCTTTGCTGAAATGCTGATTGTAAGTGTCCACTGATCCTTCACTAGGGGGATCATCTTCCTTAGCTCCAACTACTGCATTAGCCTTAGCTCCTCCCTGATACACATTTGATTTGGTGAACTGGAAGTCATTTGGGAACCCTATTAATCTGTAGCGGTCTGCCCTGAGATGTCATGTTCTCATACAATGGCTGCAACTCACATTTGGATTATATTTGGCCTTCCTAGGCTTGAACTTTTGCTGAGTGTTTCCAGATTTTTGTAATGCATTCCAAGTCTTTTGAGTTTGATTATTGTACTTCTGTGGACTCCTTGTTTGTCCACCTACCATGAAAGATGAAGCATCAGTGGGGTATTGTGGGTTGATGTATCCTTCTTTTTGACCTTCATCCTGTAATAGCAAAGAATAAGCAACATCCATGGTTGGAAGGGGGTTCATCATCAGTATGTTCCCTCTTGCCTGACCATATGTATCATTAAGTCCCATAAGAAATTGGACGATCCTTTGATCTTTCATAAATTTGGCTTACTTCTTCTTTCCTTCACACACACAATCACAGGTACATCCTAAGTGTGAGTTTAGAGAATCCAGCTCTTTCACAACTTTTTCAATTGGGTAAAGTACCCTGCTATGCTGTTGTTTCCTTGTACTGATTTTGCTATTTCCTTCTGTAGGTGATATAGTTTGGCCCCATTTGACTGGCCAAATCTGTGCTCAAGGCTACCCCAGAGTTCCTTTGCACTCTTTGAGTAGAGGACACTGTCACCAATATCCTTGGATAGTGAAATGAGCAGCCATGAAGTCACCATGTCATTGCACCTGCTCCAAAGTGCATAGTCTTTGAAAGTCAGAGATGGTGCAACACAACTCCCGTCTATGAAGCCTAACTTGTTTTTGGCTGAGAATGCTATAAGCACTGACCTTCTCCATCCGGGAAAGCCTCTTCCATCAAATGGTGAGTTGACAATGGTCATACCAGGTGCATCTGAAGAATGTAGAAAATAGGGATGATTTGTGTCATGATTTGGTCCATTGTTAGATGAACCAGAGGCAGTGACAACAGTAGGAGTCTCTGTTCCACTCATAATTCAGTGATTGGATTGAAGAAACAAGATTTGAGAGAGAGATTGAATGGATCAAGCTAGAGCTCTGATACCATGAAAGAAATGTAAATCAGATCTGTGAATTTTTCTCTGTGTGTTATTTCATCATCTGATCAAATATTTATACAAGTAGCTAATCTAACAAGAAAAGAAAGATTCTAAATATATGTACACTTGTACAAATCCTATTGCAAGTTCTGTAACAGAAAATAACAAATAATATTCTTTTACAATGTATTTATATGTGTTGTATATTCTCTTGTTCCAGCTGTCCAGGTTGTGTAATCAAACGGCTGAGATTTAGCTTCACTTGGACGGTCAAGATGTATCCACGTTTATAACCAAGAAAGGGCCCAAATAATAGAGACAACGAGGGGTGTTCATAAAAACTCGAAAAATCAAACCGAACCAAAAACCAAACCAAACCGACCAAAAAAACCGATACTTTTTGGTTTGGTTTGGTTTTGATTTTGAATTTTAAAAACCGATCAAATTTGGTTTGGTTTTGGTTTTAATCAGAAAAAAACAGGAAAAAACCGAACCAAACCGACTATAGGAGTAGCTATTTCAAATTTATTATTACACCTATATATATATGTATATTTTTATATAAAGTTTCAAAAATTTTATGGTAAATGTTAATAGTTTGCACTTTTAGTATAGTCTTTTACCTTTACATTCTAGTTTGATTGGTAGTTTTCTTTTGTTAAGTGTAAGAATCCATTTCGTGTTAAAAATAATATTTTTTAGTTGAGTCCTTAAATTATTCATCACTATTTGATTCAATTATCATCAATATATCTTGGTAAATAATAGATTTCTCAAAGGGCAATTGATTTGATAGTGTTACGTTGAAAATGTGGTCGCCGAAATATGTGTTTGGTAGTGTATGTCTAATATTTAAGAAAAAACCGACAAATAACCGAAAAATCGGAAAACCGACAAAACCCGACATAAACCGAATCGAGAAAAAACCGACTTAATTGGTTTGGTTTGGTTCTAATATTTGAAAAAACGACTTACTTGGTTTTGTTTCTTTTTAGGGAAAAACGGATCCAAACCGAACCATGAACACCCCTGGAGACAACATAGAGATGTCCGAGCTCTATCTATTTGTCTCAAACCCATCTGTCTTCTTCTTCTCTTCTGTAATCAAAATCGCTTCTTTGATATTGAAGGTTCTGCAAAATTAGCATAGGGCTTCCTTTTCTTCTTCAACATATATATATATATATATATATATATATATATATATATATATATATATATATATATATATATATATGCATGTATTGGTTCGAGAAAAGAAAAAAAAATGTTATGGTTGTGCTTGATGAGGGAAAAAATAATACTATAAATTTCAGAGCAACTTCACAAAACAAAGATGACATTTATAGTTGATTCTCAAATAAGATGGTTATTTCGTGAGACTCAAGAAAAAAGAATAAGATGCATCCAGTTAAAACTGCAGGGAAAAATTGAAGTCAAGGTAATGTAAGTTACATTCATGCAATATTTATCCCAAATGAGACTTCAGTTTAACTAACAAAGTTGTAACGCTTTGGCCTGATATAAAACATAATTACATCACATTATGATGCATTCCTTTGAGTGCACTCAAAGCTGCAAAAAAATTCATCTCGTCTTCATGCTTTTACCTTTTTACTGCTATAAACAGTATTTTGCAAAGGCGTGCGTATCTATTCGATCATCAAAGTTATGGCTCCACCTTCAAATTTTAGCCAAAAGAATAACTCAAAATGATGAAACAGAAGCAAAGGACAGACAAAATGTCCTGTGTACAGCAGCCTTTGTTACTTTACGCCCTTGCTTCGCGAAAATACTATTCCAGTACTAATATTGTCACAGTCCATATAACCAGTTTTTAAGTAGTCTTCTACACTTCTATTATTATCATCTCTATGTTAATTAATACTCCCTATTAGCTCGTGCACGCCCCTTACCCTTAAGAAAGATTAGTTTTTGATTATTTTATCCTTATTAAATGTTTTCTTAATGTATGTGTCATCTCCGTCTATGACATTATCCATAATTCCATATATATATTTTTACTAAATATGAATGCAATTGATTAGTTTTATAGAAAATATGAAGAGACACCTAGGATAATTAACAAATCAGTACTACAAACTCTTCCAACAGATAAATGGCATTCATCTTTCCTTCAAACAAAATTTCAAACGTGTTTTGAAAATTTTCCAACTAGAATATTGATTGCAATAGTGTAAACATGATTAAAGTGTTAAGATTACAAGCTAGGACTTATTGGTATTTGGATAAAATTATCCATAAGTAATGTGTTTGTAGTCTTCTAAGATACTCCTTCTGGTCCACAATAAGTGACCAATTTGCTTTTTTATTTTGGTCCAAAATAAGTGTCCATTTATATAATCAAGAAAGAATTCAATTTGTTTTTATAAAATTACCCTTATGTACATATCCCTAAAAAAAATTCTTACTCCTCACATTAAATATTTAATTAAGGGTAGTTTAGTCATACTAAGTATTTTTGTATAGAATTTAGTATTTTCTTAATGGGCATGCTAAAAGGAAATTGGTCACTTATTGTGGATCGGAGGGAGTAATTAATTATTAAGGGTAAAAAAGGAAAAACATAATCAATTTCGTCTTGAACTTCTAAAATGTCAAATAATTTGATACAAATATTTTTAGTAACCACGACACATATTATGAGATGGAGAAAGTATTTCACTAACCGAAACAGAAAGGATAAATGCCACACACCAAAAAAAAAAAAGTTATACAGTAGATGACTTCTTATTTTCTAAAACGTTATATATAAGTGGATTCGATTACCAAAATGACTAATATTTGAGATCGAAGATAGAACTCTCTAAAAAAGAAAATCAACTTCACTTTTATAAGGTAAAAGAAACGCACATTTAGGAGAAAACACAATCATTAAATGCCTTCAATACGAAACCTCGTCATAAATAGTGGGACTACAAAATATCCTTTATGGCTGTGGAAAACATACAAGCGAAAATTAAAATAAATACTGGAGTAGTAAAGAGCCACTTTGCAATCAATTAGCTAATTAATCCGCCGTGGCCCAAGTCATATCATTCTCAAAAATCCAATGGCAGACTTCAATACGACCAGGACCTGACCCTAATGCCACGAAAGCTCCGTGACCTGGACTCCATGCTGACGTGTCTATATGACAAATGGCAACACCATGATTTATTTTAGCCTTTGTCTCTACGTTAAGAATGTCTGCTTCGTAGACCCTAACTTTTGGAACAGAGTGGCAGTAATACAGTAGGTAAGGGTACAGGCTCTGATGGCATGACACTGATTGTGTCACTCTTCCACCGTTGATTCCCTTGACTTTCCCGATCATGACTTTCTCTTTTGACCCGACGACATTATCGGTAGTCCGTACCACCACATTGTGGCCTAAAACTGATACGGCAAAGTCGATCATGTCCTCCACGGAGCCAACGCATCGCTTGGTTTCGCCTTGGCTTGGAGCACGCTCGCACTCTGCAAGCACGTTCACAATCACGCGCTCCATGGTAGAGTTCTCTTGCGCGTGGAAAAAGGTCTTGAGATAGGATAATTCTTTGGTAGAGAACGGTAATTTAGATGAAATTGTCCGGGGCAAAAATGACCTTCCGGGCATTTTGTCACGAATGTCGGGCATTTTCATAACTGTCCCTTCCTTCAGCATGGATTCTCGAAAGAATTTACCCTCTTCTACCCATTTATTTACGGATTTGCCACTGGTCTTCAAAGAACCAACCGTAGGAGCGCTTTTTTTGGTGTATCCCGCAAAATTGACACCCTTTGGAGAATACTCTTTGAACGAATTGTTGAAACCATAAATCTTGAAACCAACCGAAGGATCTTTAGCTCCTTTACCATATTCTTTGAAAGTGTCTTTTCCTTCATTAAATGATTTTCCATAATTTACGAAATTTGCCTTTCCAGAACTGGAACCCTTTGCGTAAGACGTAAACGTGTCAGTACCTGCATTGGCCGAATCCCTATAACTTGTGAAAGTGTCTACTCCACTGTTTCCACCAGCCCCATAATTCTTAAAATTATTGTTAGGGTTGTTGGAATTTGTAGAGTAAGCCTTGAACGAATCATTTGCAGCATTGCCCGATTCCCCATATCCATTGAACGATGATCCAATAACATTGGACGTGTCACCATACGTAGTAAACTCAGCAGGCACACCATTTCCATTTTTGGCGTAGCTAATAAATGCTTCCTTTCCAGAATTAGTATCACCAACATAGCTCGTAAATGAAAGCTTATGATTGTTGCCGTCTGAATCGTAAGAAGCGAACCGAAGATCTGGGACATTGACACGTGGCATGTAGTTTTGGAAAGTTCCTCCTCCGCCAGTAGCTCCGGCGGCGTAGGAGGTGAAATTGCCGGATGCTACATTACCGTCCGCCGCGTAACTATTAAAGTCCTCGCGGTGGCCGGTGGAGCTCCGGCTGTATTTGGTGAAATCGCCGCTGGCGAAGTTGACGCCATCTGAATAGTTCTTGAAATTGTCTCCTCCACCTAGCCTAGAGGATCCATAGTTGGCGAATTTTTTGTTATTGTAGACAGCAAAATTTGCATCTTTACTAGGGCTTGGGTTAAGGTATGATTTTGAATCAGAAAAACAGAATAACTTGGCGGAGGAGCAGAAAGAAGAAATGTGACCGGTGAGAGATTTTTGGGTGGCGAGACTGGTGTAAAAGGCGGCATCCACGGCGGAGAGCGGTGAGGCTTTGGAGAAAAGGAAAGAGGGTATAGGGAGTTTGTTGGAGATTTGTTTGTTCCAATATCGAACAAGTGAAGCTTTTACTGTAAATGGATTTTCTTTAGGTAATAATGAATCTTTTCTTTGTTCATTTGTTTGAACCAATGAAGCCTACAAGAAAAAATGAAAAAGGACTGTAAGAGACAAATTAGAAGGTTAAATATAAAAGGTTTAGGGACAAATTAGAAGGTATGTATAGAAGATCTATATGCTACATAAATTTCAAATGAGAATATAAAAAACAAATGTATGTACAAAGCTAGTTAGTTACACTTACAGTGGAGGAAGAAGAAGACAAGAAGAAGAAGAAGAAGAAGAGAAGAGAAATCTTGAGCTTGACACTTCTGTCCATTTCACCTTTGGCCTCTTCTATGTTTTGAGTCGTAAGGTTGTGGAGATAACGACATAAATAGAAGATCCAATGGACAATTTCCCGTACTTTACTATTTTACTGAGGTTTTTTTTTTTACCGCTGTTGATTTTATAATTTAATTCTTTTACTTTCGGTGTAGAATATTAATTTGCGTAACTTATTTAGCAAAGAGACAAAGATTCTCATTGTCCAATTCATATATTCTTTTAACGAAAGAAAAGAAAGCAGTTCTGACTCAGATCTAAATAGAGGAAGTCAGTAAACTAAACCAAAATGAGATTAGCTAAATGAGCAGCTTTTTTTCTTTTTCTTTTTCTTTTTCTTTTTTAACAAAAAAGCAGCTCCCTTTTTGTTCAGATATAATCCCAGCCAAAGAGATATCCGCCTCGCCTCTCCTCATGCGTCATGTAAGTTATGCATTATTTTCATCTCTTTTTTCTTCTGTTTTATTTTACTGCGAACTATTTATCTTTTTGACTATTCAATTTCAAGCGAAAGACTATTATTGGTGGTGTAGTTCGTAAGATAACCTAGTTATGTGAATTTGGACGGGATTGAAAAGATACCTTTCAAATTTTGTTTTTTATTTTTTGGTAAAAAAAAAATGATGACCGTTCATGAGTAGGTAATGACCAACTCACGATCTAGAATCAATGAGTGTAGAACAAGTATTATATTTTTTTTTTTTTTATATATTCTAAATAGCTTTGTTTATGCACATAATTTAAACCACGAGAATTAAGTCTATTTGAACTGGAGAGTTCATCCTAAATCCACCATTACTCTCCCCCATGCAGGAAAGAAAATGGCAACCCATTCCATGAATCATCCCGTGTTTACGTAGGATCCAGGAAAGGGTCGCACCTTAATGCAGTGTAATGTAAGCAGTCTATCCTAATGCAAGCATTAATGGCTGATTCCAGGGGTAGATTTAGGGGGGCGGAAGGGGACCCCCTTCGCCGAAAAATTACACTGTATATATAAGGCAAAATCTGATTTTTACCTTTATATATTAAGTTTTGAACCCCCTTAACATAACCCAAAAGTGTAGTTTAGTGGTCAAGGGGGTTCAAAGTCTTCATAAGGTCATAGGTTCAATTCCCACTAGCTACAAAAAAAATTTTGAACCCCGTTCGTGGAGATCTTGCCTCGGATATAATTTTACCATTGTTCACTTTTCTTCCATGATAATCATAGTACCCAAATGCAAAAAATACCATCTTGGGAAGAAGAAATGGGACTCTTTTGATACTCAAGTATTGTACTCCAACATCTGCTCTACCCAATACTGTTCTGAACTTACAACTGTGAACCTGAGAGAGGTTAATTGAAGGGTTGCCCACAGCATGCTTTTGATATTTGCATTCAACATTTATCTAAGGATAACTAAAATTAGCAACTAGACAAGTTGGAGGATTGCTGGACCACGTTATCAAAGCATTAGTGTCATGCGCAGAAAACAAGACATGCATATAACAGGGCACTACTACTGACTACTGAATAAGATTCCGATAGGACACGAACATCTAAGCTTTAAACAAAGAGATGCTGTACTGTAATTCAACTTAGTATAAAAGTGAAATTAGTAATTAAAATTAAAATATATTACCTGATCATATAACCAAGTTAAAATAAAATAGTGTGAAATTTGCCGCAAAGTGTATAAAAGATCTAGCAGTAATTTTAATAAGCTATACAAGGAACAATCTCAGACATGCTTCGTTTTTGACCAATTGTGAAATCCTTTTTTTAATGGTGTCAGTGACACCACATTGTTATCGAATCTTTGTGGGTTCGTCGTTTGATGCAGCTATTTCTGTGCTAATAGTACCTATTGCATCTAACCATATGCCATATCCACTATGGTGGAGCATTTGTTTTTTCCTATTAGAACTGTGGGCGGCAGTAAATCGGATTTTTTTTAATCAGGGAACACTGGTTAAGAGCAATCATCGCCAAATTATTTTGTCGTTTTAAGTCAAAAGTTAAAGAAAAAATTATTATTTTTAAATATTCTACTCCAGCAAGTTTGTGTCAAATATAGAGTTAAATGAAAAAGTATGCTCTCTCTGATAAATTACTTTGAATTTTTAGTTGGCCGAATGGTGGTTTTTAAATCATGGATCCACGATGACATCTAATTACTTCACTAATTTTATAATCGTTAATGCCCATTGTCTTGATTATAGTGTTTACTTTAATCTGCAAAGCTTGTCAGTTAATGCCCACTTGCTCTTTTCATTTACATTATACAAATATACGATCACAAAGTTTATATATGCATATAACGCACACACTACGACACTATCACCAAGAAAATTTCTTAATAACTGGAATTGTTTTGCTGTTCTTTTGAAGTATTTTCTTCTGTAGTTTTTTTTTCCTTTCAACAAGGTTTAGACTCGTAACATGTTTGACGACGTATGAATGAGAAAAATAATGAAGATTGTTTTTGGGCCAAGATAACGTAGGTTTGAGTAGAAAAATTTTAATAAAGCGCTATCTTTTGGTAGTAATTAGCTATCTATAGATACCATTTACTATATTACGGAATATAGATACCTTTTCTGTGGTTATAAGATGTATTTGATGTATTTAAGTTATTGTATTCATGAATACAATAGCAAAAATAAGCGTGAATCAAGGAAGTCCAGCTAATCAGTTGTTGTATTCGAGTGTATTCGACTGTATTCATGGAGTGAAACATGGGATTACAGCTGGACAGATTATTGTATTCGACTGTATTCACGGCATGAAATAGGGGATTACACTGTTTTTAAAACAGAGTGTGAATCAATTAACATAATAGACTCCTAATATAACTCAACAAACTCAATTATAACACACAATTTTTGTATTTTTCAGTTATAAAAAAGATTCTCAACCGCAAAATACAATGAAATAGATAGAATACAGAGGGATACATTGAAATACAATGAGAAAAAAAGACACTGAATACATTGAAATACAATGAGAAAAAAAGACACTGAATACAATGAAATACATGGAATACAACGAGATACTTTGAATTACAATGAAAAAAAAGATAGTGAATATAAAGAAATACATAGAAATACAGCGAGATACATTGAAATGCTTTTAAAAAAAGGGTAACAGAATCTTCAAATTGCTCAATCCCAAACTTCAGACTTCGACAACCCATCGAATTCCGACCATGATTCCATAAGCAATTTGAATAGGTATAATATATGAAACTGACTCACCTTACATGTAACGTTACAATATTACAAAATGTCCATTTATACATGGGATGCTGACAATTCAATCCTTTCATAATCAACAATTAAAGAGGCTAATCTTTGTTGTTTGAACCAGTAAGTATCTTCGCGTTTCAAAGTGAGTTCTTGACCAGTGGGACAAACAATTTTTTTTAAAAAAAAAAATTTAGGATGAGAAACTTTAGACAAGAACTGGGTTTCTCTCAACCGGATGCGGGAGCCGGAGCAATTTCTGAAGTGGGCTTTGCACAAATCCGGTGGAAGGAGGAGGAGATCGGAAATTTTAATGAGATGGGGGAAGAGAATGAGATGTATCAAAATAGAGAGAGAAAGAAAATAGTGTAACTGATTAGCGTATTTAGTGGCTTAGGGCTAGGAGGTAACCAAAATTAAATATTTTGCTATAAACCTTAAAAGGTATCTATAGAATATAATTTATTTAAATGGTATTTATTTAAAATAAAGAAGGTATTAATCTTTGCCATAGGAAGTAAAAATTCCTTTGAGAAATCTAGTACTAACATGTGGCCCATTTCAGATGTTAGCCTATTTAGTGAAAAACCAAATATTTTTAGTCTAAATTAACTGAATATATGCATGTTAGTGATCACTCACAAGCAAATACCAGAAGAAGATTTAGGCCACTCTTGTTGTTTGGGCCTAAGAATTATGGCCGACTATTTAAGTTAATTCTTCAATTTTAGTTGCGGATGTTGATGATGTTCTCCTCACCAAATTTATAGGAGCAGGTGATGTTGTCAAAGTCTCGAGCAAATTGAGCTTTGTGCTTGAAATGATTATGGACTGTTCGTGAGCTTCCAGTTAATCTATTAAGACAATGACGAAAGTAGTTAACGACTTTTTGTACATCTCAGACGTGTTAAGTAACATTGTTGATGGAGAGTTACCTACCCATCACATCATAACCTTAGCAAAATATCCACAGAAATTGCAAGAATTTATTAATTTTTACCTACCAATTACATTTTTAGTCTCTTTAAACATAGCAAAAGCAAATCTTTATGACCATATTAGAGTACTTGCAAATATTAAGCTTCAATATTTGAAACTATTAAATACTTTATGGATAAATGGGGCCAAAAGAAAAAGAAAAACAGAGAAACAGATGGAGGAGTTCTAAGACTATAGTAAAGATATTTTTGTTGTGTGGGTGTTAGCTAAGCATCATAAAAAATTGATCTTTCCCGTCACTCTCATAATCTCAACTACACATTTGTTGTTGTGCTCTTTCTTTCCCAGCTTCTGTCATGAAATCAGAAATCAGTTAAAATCCAGTCAATAAACAACAACAATGGTAAAAGCTTTTACCTCCAATACCAGTCTTCCGCCATGTAATTCCTCTGAACCACCACCAATCCCATTTCATCCTCAATTCCACCTGAAACCCAGCACCCGCCGTCACCTTATCACCTCACTTTCCATTCTAATAACTCCATTTTTCGCTTATCCAAAGCTTAAGTATGACCCACTTAACCCATTTTCTTTACCAGTATCAAATGCTCGAGGGCTTTTTCAAATGCCACCTGTTCGCCTCACCAACCGGTAATTCTTGAATTTTTTTCCTTTTTTTTTCAATTTGCTTGAAAATTTTGAATTTTGTGATGAGCAATGTATAATTGGTTGAGGTGATTTGCAGGTATTTTTTGGTGAGAGCAGGGGAGTCAGAATATGAGAGTTTGGGGATAATTAACACAAACCCAGTTGCGAAAACATCTGTGGATAATGGTCTGTCTGAGAAAGGGAAGAAACAGACAGTGAGGGCGGCGTTCGATTTGAGGGAAATGAGAGCTTGTGAAGGAAGTTGTTGGATTTGGCCATCCATTACTCAGAGAGCATATCAGGCTGCTGAGATTATCGCTGCTGTTAATGGTGTCAATCGAAGGTATTCGCATTTAATAATTTTCTCAAAGTAACAGGAATTATTTTCTTGAAATTCACTGTTTTTTATGTGGACATAGTCTCAATAAACTTTGCATTTGATTTGAGGGCTACTGTTAAACGCCAATGCTAACACAATGCATGGTTTTGTGATAGTTCATTTCTTTTTATTTTTTACCAGAATTATAATTCAGTTGATATAACTACTTCGTTTTTTTTTATACTTGATTTGGTGGTGTTGCAGCCGTATAGTCCCTGAATATAGTTTTCTGGATGCTCGTGGATTGGGAGCATATGAGGGGAAAAGTTTGGATACATTATCTGAAGTAAGATGCTGCCTTTCTACTCAATCACCTAATTAGTATTACTGTCTCTCATTTTTGAGTTAAATTAAACATTGACACTAATATATGTGCATGAAATGTATATACTTATATGACTTATGTGCACCGATGGTGGGGAAGGACTAGTTATTTCAGCTGAAAGTAAAATTTTGATCCTATTAACGATCATATGAGGGGACAAATAGAAATTTTCAAGAATTTGGGGATCCATGCATGCTCTACTATTTTCTGCCAAGGGATCAACAATGAGTCATTTCTCTTCCCTCAGAGAACTTGAATTACTCTTTCTGCTCAATTTTGCCTCCAAACTACTAATTAAACTCGTATATATTGAAAATGATTCAAGAATCATTGCAACACTCCCCATTTCCCCTTACCCTACATAAATTAAATTTGAACAAAAAAAGTAAAAGGGGAGGGAGAGAGCCAGCACTGAAGAACCAAACTGTCCTAAAAATATGACCTGTTTAAATAAGTTGCAGATAAAATGTTGCAGGTGTATGAATCAGATAGCCTTTCTCCGAATATAAAGCCACCCCCTACTGATGATGGAACACCTAATGAGAGTGTTTCGGATGTCTTTGTTCGTGTAACACAAGTTATGTCGGTTCTTGAAACTCAATACTCCGAGGACACAGTCATCATAGTCTCACCAGATTCTGACAACTTGACAATTCTGCAAGCTGGTTTAACAGGGCTTGATCTTCGAAGGCAAGTGGCCGCTACTCTGTTGCTTGCAGCTTAGGTCACTCCGATATTCAAATGGCTTTTGCTTTCTTGTTGACATGTTCCTCTGATCATATTTGCAGGCATAGGGATCTGTATTTTGGGCCAGGTGAAGTTAGATATGTTGATGCTAGCAGCATACCTACCTATAAGCAACCTGCGTCAAAAGTTTATAAATGCTTAAATCCCCCTAGCTGTACATGACATTGTACTCCAAGTTTGGATTTTGGTATTTTGCCAACAACAATGCAGGTGAATATGTGCATTTTTTCAACTATATATTGTTCATTTTTTATATATCAACGCTGAACAAAGTCTTGACATTCTTCTTCCAATGGTTTCATTCTCTGAATTCCAACTGAAGCTTTACTTAAAAAGTTCTTTACAGGGTGGCAGCTATAGAAAATTTGTCCACAGGAACGTTTACTCAGTGTTACATGTAAATGTGAGTTGATTCACTGCAATATAAAATTATTGTCGCAAATGCTAAATATTTGTCTTTCAACAGGATCATTTCTCATCATTGTTGGTTAAGATGGGCTCAGGTAGCTGTATGCATTTCCCATGTCCATGTCATCAGTACTTAGTCTTGGCAAAGCAAAAGAATTCTTTCTTTTCTGTTTGTAACCCAACAGAAAAAATTGAGGTAGAATTATGTAACCGAATGAATAGTAACTTACATCTTTCGTCTAATGCGACTCGTGCTCATTTTAAATTTCTATATTGGAATATTTCAATTGGCCTCTATTTATAACTCCTGTTTTCCACAAAGTTCCATCGATTCATCCCATTTAATGATTGCCTTTTATTAATCTAAGTGTTACACAGATGAACAAAAAGGAGTAGAAATTAGTTTAATTCCTTTCTACTTAGCTTTTCATATGAAAAGCTCAACACAATTAGACGTATCCAGTTTTTATGATTCATGTTCTATGAAGTTAATGATAAAATTAATGTTCTAACACTTGAAATTTGGTTGATGCATATTTCATAAAGAAAAAATTGATGCGTTAACGCATCTGAAGAATTTTGACTTAAAAGTTTCCCGCTGGGGACGTACAAATTAAAGAACTTTTGGACATTTTGCTTTTAATCTTTTAATAAAAAGAAAAGAATCTTTAATGCGCAGAACATGGAAAATGGACTACGTACGTTTCGCCAATCCTAATCAATTTTACTATTTCCGTCTTTAGAATTTAAGTTTTGTTTATATGAAATTACCTTCTACCAAAAAGTTTTGACAACATGATACAAATTTCTTATTTTTCACTTTTTCTCAATTAGAATGACTTCTACATGACACTATATTTTGAATAAACTGTAGTTGAAAACTCAAACGGCGCTGGGCAAGAGAACATAGCATATCTGCAAAGTTTCAGTTTGATGATTAGAGATTTAGCTACAGAATTAATATAAACCAAGTATAACATCGTCTTTATGGGACATCTTAGGTGTTGTGATATTTAGATATGTCTATGAGATTGTGACTGATCATACACGTGGCGGTATTATTAAGAGCGACTTTAAACTATAGCTAAGTTGGGGAAAGCTTACATAAGCAAATTCCAGATATATCATCATGTATTATTATGTCTCCAGCAGTTCATTCCAGAGAAATCTGGAACTATGAACTTTCTCTCGCTTTCAACTTTTAAATAATGTTTAATCATGCGTCATTCTTTGCATGCTCCTTAATTTAATCGATTAAAACAGATGGCTTTATACTTTTACAGTCACCAGGAGATCAGCCTTTTTTTCGACCTCTTTCCGACCCTTATCGAAGCTTCAAATAAATTAGCAATTAACTTTTGGCAGTAAACAATAATTATTACCGCTCTTTTTCCCATCTAATTCCCCAAAAATACTAGTAATATGTTTGTTCAAGCATATTGATTAATTTTCATATTTTCTATTTTTAAGTTTGGGCCATACTCCTTTTCTTTTTGGATCTTTACGGATAAAATTCACTGTTTACTTTTTTTATCTATATATATAGATTATACATCGAATATATATAATTATACATATATTATATATTCATTGATTATTTCTAGTTTAAGCAGTTCAGTGTGCGGCTATTTGGGTTAACTCTTTTTTTATTTAAAAAAGATGACTTGCGAGTTGTGAATTTTGGACATAGTGATGTGGTACATGTTTGTCGAAGTGTTAACTGTACATTAATGTTAATTTTTTGGTCTTTATAGTCTTATTATGAACATCAAATTAAGAAATGTGACTAAACGGCGAACAAGGTAAAATAATGAAAAAGATAGTACATACTCGATGCTTTTAGTGCACTCCAAATCGAAGGTCATTTTCAAGCTGATTTGCTCATTACTTCTTTTTCGCTGGGGCTACGTTTATCAATCATATCTCGATAAATAATTTAATTTTCCAAGTTAGGCTAACCACACATTTAACTCAAATTGGGAATTGCTAGGTATATGACGCAAATATATAACTTCTCAAATTACGATAACCAATTATTAAGAGTAACAAAATTAAAACGAAAACATAATCGACTTTCTGTTCTTTTCTGTTGCGAAAAATAATACAACAAGACTGGATCAGTAGAGTGGGTGGGAAATGAAAGCGATGGCAGAACTAATTTGAAACTCAACTTTAAGGCATGCATGCTCAACTTTAGCTGCATATATATACTCATTTCTTTTTCACATTTAATGACACAAATAATTTTGTACGGAGATCTAGACAAAATTGAAATTAGAATTAGTCACACGTGATATAATACTTCATTTTTTTCATTTTATATACATTTTTTACATTTACTTTTTAATAAAATTGTCACATTTTAATATTTAAAACTCTTTAATTTTTGACATTTTTATATTGCTTTTAACGCCTTAATTGTCCATTACTCCATTCTATAACTTTTGGTTGAATAATAAAATAAGAACACTTGTCTAGAGAGGAAATAAAATTGAATGTCATATTAGTCTTCTGACTAAAAAAATACATTTGAACAGTTCATCACCCTTAGGGAAGTAAACATTATTTTTCTTATGAACTAAAAAAGAAAGATGAATATATACATTTTGAAAATGAACGAATCAAATTTAAGAGCTAATTTGAGTGGAATTCTGTAGTTAATTAATCTATTAGTCAGACTCATAAAAATAATAAAAGAAAATTATTTTAATGATTTATTAACAAAAATATCTTGTATTCCTATAAGTTATTGAAATGTAATCACTAATATTATACTACTTCTCTTGCCGTCCAAAATAAGTGACAGACTAAAAGTGGGCGTTCGGACATAAGAATTGCAAAAAATTTTAAAAAGTGAATTTTATTTTCAAGTGAAAATGGTGTTTGAAATTAGAGTTGTGCTCGGACATGAATATAATTTTGGGCTGTTTTTGAATTTTTGTGAGTAATCTGAGTGAAAATTTTGAAAAACAGTTTTTTGGAGTTTTTAAAATTTTCAAAAAATTCTAAAATTCATCTTCAAGTGAAAATTGAAAATTTTATGGCCAAATATTGATTTCAAAAAAAGTAAAAGAAATTCGAAAAAAAAAAGTAAAAAAAATGCTTATGTCCAAACGGACTATAAGGTTATAAGAAGCATATTACTGGATATTTATTGTACTTGATTCTTTTTTTCTTGTTAGAGTTTAGCCTTTGTGAATGAATCTTTTTTACCATCAAATTAAGCTGATCTATAACACTATATAGTTGATTATAAGAAACATATTAATGTTAATAACATAATAATATTAGAACATCATAATTAGATGTGGCAATTTGAGCCCAAACTCATTCAACCCGTTCAATTCACTAGAGATTAATGGGTTGGACTACAAATATTTTAGCTCATGGGTCTATTTGGGCTAAGCCCAAGTTAGCCCATTATTTTTAATGGCTCATTCTGACCCATTAAGCAGCTCAAATAAAACCCATGAAACTCACCAAAAACAAAGGGATCCCTACCCAACTTATCTAAAAATTTAGGGAAATTTTCGTATATATACCATATATGAAACTATATTACCAAATGTGTTCATAGTTTGCATATTACCATTCATGCTAATAGTATTTCTACATAATATATACAATGCATTAAATAAGGAATCACTGTAGCTTTCCTTATTTTGCCGCGCTAAAAAAGGGGAATTAAATATTTTCCAAATCTTCCCCAACGCAAATCACGCACAATAATAACTATCATTGACTTCGTTACAAAATTTCCGCACTCTGTTTTTGCTATACACTCTGTTTCATCATTTTCTCTGATTTCAGAAATCAAAATCGACAAAATCTTCTACAATTCTTCTGCAACAAACACAATTATGTCCAAATTTCAGTAATACAAAGTAAAGGAAAAGGGAGCAGCAATTCCACCATTGACAACCATTAAAAAGCTTTGAAGCTTTAAATTGAAATTTGGGTTTTCAAAAATCATTATTTGTTTGGATTGGGTGTTGTTGCAAATAATTGGGAATATGGTTTGGAGTTTATATCTCAATTTTGAGGGGTTTTGGTGAAGATTAGACTTGGTTTTGGCTGAATTTCGGATTGAAACTCGTAGAAGAAGAAGACATGACATACATTATATTGCAGAAATTGTAAAAAAAATTGTAGACTGTTGTTTATTTATTTTTCTTTTATTTATTTACTTATTGTATGAAAGTTGAACAACATTGTATAAAAATTGTAGTTAAGTGGATGATTTAGTTCTGTTTTGGACAAAAATATGTATCAAAAATGTGAAACATACATTTCAGGGGAAGCACGTCGAGTCCAAATATGTACCCAGTTTGTAGATATTTTGTAGATAAATTGTAGATTATTTGTATTCTGATTGTAGATGCTTTATTTTCTGTCTTCACAAATAAAAAACGACTAAAACTTCTACAAATATTATGAAAAAACGCAATTATGTCAAAAATCTCAATTATGCTACAATTGAATGGGAATTGGGATATAAAAATTCAATGTACCCAGTTTGTAGATATTTTGTAGATAAATTGTAGATTATTTGTATTCTGATTGTAGATGGTTTGTTTTCCGTTTTCACAAATCAAAAACGACTAAAACTTCTACAAATTTTCTGCAAAAAGCGCAATTATGTCGAAAATCCCAATTATGCTACAATTGAATGGGAATTGGGATATTAAAATTCAGTGTACCCAGTTTGTAGATATTTTATCGATAAATTGTAGATTATTTGTATTCTGATTGTAGATGCTTTATTTTCTGTTTTCACAAACAAATCTTCTGCAAAAAATGCAATTATGTCGAAAATCCCGATTATGCTACAATTCTGTGATTCTCCTATATGCTCTTGTTACTCATTACGAAACTACTATGCTAAATATGGAATCCAAAAAAACATGACGAAGGGATAGATCTTCCTAAGAAATTTTGTAGATAATTTGTAGAAACATTGAAATTCTGTATTTTCATATTAATTTTTCAAATAATATGTAGTTTTGTTGTAGATTAAATGTAGAAAACAAGCCATTGTGAGTCTTATTTGACTCATTCCTCACATTCAACCTATTCTACAAATTCACGCCTCTTTAAATACAATGCAAACATACTTCTTGAATTTAAAGGTATAGCAATATATATAACTTAAAAAACATCTTCTCCTCTGCACAAGTTCGCTCCAAAACAGATGAAGTGGAATAACAAGCTCCGATCAAAACTTTTAACACAAAAACACAAAGCTCAAAAATAAATAAACAACGGTCTACAATTTTTCTACAATTTCTGCAATATAA